CTCCAAATACTTCAAGGAACTGGTTGAAAAACTGAAACTTTTCTTCAACATATACTTTTATTCCAGCATGTGTTGTGAATTCTTAAACAGAAAAATAACTCAGTTCCTCTACACCTGTTAAAATACATATATGAATCAGCTGGTATGTCTTTGCCCAGAGAGTCTTCTGGTCTACTTACTTCCAGCTAAAGTGAGCTATTATGAAGAACACATAATATAATATATAACCCCATCTGGGTTTGAATTGGTTTCTCATTTTCTCAACATTAGGTTTGCTTCAGTTAATCCCCACAGTTGATTTTGATTTTTAAAGGCTCTTCCTTGATAAAGTGGGTGGAAACACTGTATTCCCCTAAGGGTGATTTTTTTATCATGGTCTTGCAATTGTGTGCTGCCAGGTAGCAGTGGTAAGGAGACTGAACATAGGGAACGAGGCCCTATTTACAGTCCTTCAGGACAATGTATCCAGATGTGTGGATTCTCAGGAATGGCCATGATGGTTGGGAATTTCTGGAAATGAAGTCTGTACATCTAGAAGTTGCCAAAGTTGGGAACAGTGCTTTAGGGAAATGAAGTCATTTCCTACAGAATAATAAAATGATTTTATATTCTTACGTGATAGGAGTGAGTTGAGCTTTTCTAGAGCTAAAAAGGATGTGATAAGAAGTGTGAAATGTGTAAAACCTGGATGTGAAATTAGATGGACCATTGGCTAGCTCTGTACTATGAAAGCCACTGTTCTTTTAACATGCAAATAGGAATTTTCTACTCCTTCCACTGTATTCGGGAAATACTTAAACCAATATTTTTAAAACTGGGAAGCTGAATCATTTTTTTTTAAATTGTCATCCTGGTTCACATACAAGATAGTTTGTGGGACTCAAGAGATCTAGGTCATGTTCTGGCTCCTTTACTAGCTTCCTATGATGTTAGACCAATTGCTTGGTTTCCGTGTGCTTTGGCTTCCTTTTCTTCAAATTAAGGATCATGATGTTTGCTTATCAACC